GAACGGTCTTACCAGGAATATACAAAAGACTATATGTAAATATTGTGTACACTTTCTTGCTTCAATACATTTTGTTCTAAGTACCTTTTTGTGTTGCATTATTATTCCATGCATTAGTCAAGTTTCAACATATATATATATATATATATATATATATATATATATATATATATATATATATATGTCTAATACAAAGAATACATTTGTAAAGAGGATGTAACTCTCCGCTGAGCAGGCTGACCGCAAAAAAAAAAAAAAAACAGACAGACAAACGCAGAGAGATGCAGATGCACATTACGTTTCTTTGGGCACCTCGAGGTGGTGTAATGGTTAGCAAGCTTGCCTTGCTAGAACAATTACGAGTGAGTTCGATCCTCACTGGGTGCCCCATAATTTCGGCCTTGTGCCACATCTGAGCTACGCCTGGAAAATCACTTTTGGGCACCTCGGCGTGGTGTAACGGTTAACAACCTTGTCTCGTTAGATCAGTTATGACTGAAAAGTGAGTTCGATCCTCACTAGGTGCCCCAAACTTTCGGCCTTGTGCCACATCTAAGAAACGCTTAGAAAATAATTTTGGGCACCTCGATGTGGTGTAATGGTTAGCAAGCTTGCCTCGCTAGAACTATTACGACTGAGTAGTGAGAACGATCCTCACTGGGTGCCCTATGTTTTCGGCCTTGTTTCACATCTGAGATACGCTTGAAAAATCACTTATCGGCACCTCGAGGTGGTGTAACGGTTAACAAGCTTGTCTTGCTAGAACTATTACGACTGAATAGTAAGTTTGATCCTCACTGGGTGCCCCATACTTTTGGCCTTGTTCCACATCTGAGATACGCTTGAAAAATCACTTATCGGCACCTCGAGGTGGTGTAATGGTTAGCAAGCTTGTCTTACTAGAACAATTACGCCTGGGGAGTGAGTTCCATCCTCACTGGGTGCCCCATACTTTCGGCCTTGTGTCACATCTGAGCTACGCTTGGAAAATCACTTTTGGACACCTGGAGGTGGTGTAATGGCTAGCATCCTTGTCTCGCTAGAACTATTACGACTGGGGAGTGAGTTCGATCCTCACTGGGAGCCCCATAGGTTCGGCCTTGGAAAATCACTACACATTACGATTCATTGCCCACTTATACATACAAGAAGCTTCACAAACCTACATACTCATAGAATTATCCACGGTTTTAACACACGTTGTCTGACCAATGAGAACTGAGCCTAACATGATTGAAAACATCAGTGTTTTATTTTTGTTTTTGTCTGTTTTCTCTCAACCTCTGACGAAGGTTTAATAAAATTGAAACATATATCAAATGAAAAGTGTTACATATATCATAAGAAACGCGTATATCAATCGTTAGATTGATATAACCTCCCTATTAGTTCCTCTATTTTATCACCCTTTTGGATTCCGATCTTTGATGTGCATTTGAACTCTAACTTTGATGACAGAGCGTAGAATTCTGAAAGTGTTTGATGAGACTAATGGTGATTACGAAGGTGTTTGGTGCGATCACTATTGAGGGTGACGTCATACGTCAATTCAACTTCCCACAGAGCTTCAGACTCAACAAGGAGGTTTACATCGAGGGCCTTGAAGTGGTAGTGTTGCTCCGAGTCAAGATGGTGGCTGCTAAAAGAACCTATGTCTGGCAACAGGGCATTGCATCATGCCATAAAACCAGGATAACCCATTCATGGCTATCAAACGATTTCTGCGACCACGTCACTCCTTACCTGTGGCTACCTATCTCCCCAGACTGCAAAATACTTGGTTATTATGTGTGGACCACTGTTGAGATACACTAAACATGAACTGAAGGCAACGATTATGGCAGCATTCACCAACTTAAACAAGGAGACCGTCCAGAAGAGTTGCAGGAGATTCCGAAATCTTTTGGAGAGGGCAGTTGATGTCAATGGCGATATTTTAAAAATATATTAACTCTTTAGTATTTCAAGATATGTTTGTATAATTTTGGTATATACACACACACACACACACATATATATGTATATATATATATATATGGAGAGAGAGAGAGAGAGAAAGAGATATATATATATATATAAAAATATATATATATATGTGCAGATATGTAGGAAAAAAGGAAAGAACAGTTCTTCAGTATTTTTGTTTTTAAAAAACAGTTCTCCGTACAGAAGTAGACCAGACGATGTGCACACATGAATGCCATCATTCGCTTTGAAATGGGTACCCCGACCCTCGGCTTGACCTCTTTCGAAAGGTCACTGATATGTGGATACAAATTTACTCTTAGGTCTCTTTTCAAAACGTTTCAGCCGTTTCCACAGTAACAAATTTTGCGGATGAACATGATTATAAAGATGCGTAAATTTCAAGATTGCTTATTCCTAAATTTTCGCTTGAGGATGAAACAGGGCTTGATACTTTAATTCAATTTAATTTTAATAATTATATTGAGGGTTTCGGGTCTCGTTTTTTGAAACATGAGAACTCGTATGTATCGAAGGAAATTTTTTTTTTTCTTAAATATATATATATATATATATATATATATATATATATATATATATATATAGATAACTAGACTCGTTTTGAAAAACCCTCGAATTTTTGATTTGCAAATAATCAAATCAATCTCGAGGGAAAAAAGGTTTTAAAAAAGAAAGAGCTACAAACATGAACTTCTGCCGACAAAAAAATCGCACAGATGCAGGTCTGAAGCCCAAAGAAAAAACCCCGATACGAATAACAACTAACTGTCTGGCTCACTAGGTGTATCTATATATATATATATATATATATATATATATTCGAATTTCAGTCGATTCAATTACATTCATTACATTTCAGTTTTTGAATATTATATTTATCAGCGAAGCAAGTAAAAGCAATGGAGTTCCACTGACATTGTGCATTTTTATGCCAGTAGGCTACTTTTAGGCAGACATTTCAGAGATGCTCATTCTTTTCTGGTTTTATATATGCCCTAACGTGAATTTGATTTTCCGGTCCAGAAGAGCCCATTTTCTGACTTAAGGCTTCAGTTCCTGTACCGTGACACCAGTTACACTTGTTATTGAGCATTTTATTTGCCATACTGACAAGCCTTTCCAGGTTGAACCTTTTTTACGGCCATTTTTGATTTACCATCTCCACCGTGCGAGTTGTGTTTGCCTGTCAAATTGAACACGCCCGGTAGTATATAGGGTACACCCTACTATTACAGCCACTGGTTACCTGAAAATGAGATAGTTACGCAGCTGCAGTTGTTGTCGAACTTTTTGCCTTCGGGTAGAGTGGAATTCGGACGGGGCTATGCCGTAGGGCAGAATCTCATCCGGGGTGGCAGCCAGACCCGACCCCGTTTATGCGGGGTCTATGTACTACTGTACTGATGCGGCATTCACCCTGGGCGGATTGAGCCGGCTTCTTCCTGTTATGAGAAGAAGATTCTTGGGATAAATTACAGAAGTAGGGTACCCAGGCCTACTCGGATAACGTTCTTGCTTGCCGCGGGGTTCCCACAGACGCAGAGACAGGAACAACCAGAAGCTGCCGGTTACCGATGCAGACGCTCCTTGGATTTTCACCAGAGCCCTTGTTAGCCGGCGTGTGTGTCAGACCTGTCCGCCTTTGGTGGCCCTACCAGGAACGAAGTTCCGGACGGCATAAGCTCTGACACTACCGTTTACACCCCCACCGACTGTGAGGTGGGGTTGAACTTTGGGGCTTACAGTACCAGGTGTTCCCAAGCGGTCCCCATCTAAGTACTGACCTGGCTCTACGATGCTTAACTTCGGTGATCGAACGAGAACCGGTGTTTTCAGCGTGATTTGACCGTAAGCGGGGTCTATGGGGAAAATTTAGCCAAGCCTATGGTCTCAGATTTCCCCACATCAAATTCGGTCTGGTCCACATCTTACTTCGTGTGACGTCGGTAAATACTACTGGCTGCCTGACGATCGGGAAGTTAGACAGCTGGAGTTGGCCGCGTGTTCGACTTTTAGCTGATGCTGAACTCTCTGCCTTAGGGCAGAGAGAAACCCGGACGAGGCTCCGCCGAAACGCTGCCTCGTTCGGGGAGGTATACTGATCCTGAACCCGTTTATATGGCTTCGAAACGGAATATTTTTGGCCGAGCCTACGGGCTCGGAGAACGTTAAAACGGCCTTGTGCCACGTGCCATTCTCGTGGGAGGTAGCTAAATATACTGGCTACCTGAAGATCAGATAGTTACGCAGCTGGAGTTAGCCGCGTGATCGACTCTTAGCTATTCGGGCAGAGAGGAAATCGGATGAGTCTATGTCGAAGGGCAGAATCTTATCCGGGGAGGCAGCCAGAACCGACTATATTTATGCGTTGGGTCTATGGGGAATTTTTAGCCAAGCGTACGGGTTCGGCTTACCCCCACATCAAATTCGGTCTTGTCCACATCTTACCTCGTGGGAGGTCGGTAAATAGTACTTGCCACCTGACGATCTAGTAGTTAGGCAGCTGGAGTTGGCCGCGTGATCGACTCTTAGTTGTTGTCGAACTATCTGCCTTCGGGCAGAGAGGAAATCGGACGAGTCTATGCCGAAGAGCAGAGTCTCGTCTTGGGTGGTAGACAGCTACCCGGCCCCGTGTGTGCGGGGTCTACGTGGATTTTTTGGCCGAGCCTACGGGCTCAGGATGCACCACGTTAAAACCCGGCCCCCTGCCATATCCCGCCTTGTAGGGAAGTTTCAAATACTTGACTACGAGTAAAGGCTTGAAACGTATAGTCGTGGCCAGTCACTGCCTAAAAGCTTTTTGAATTAATATTGAAGTTCTGCCATTTCTTATGGCATTGAGCACTTTTATGCCAGTAGGCTAATTTGGGGCAGACTCTTTCAGAGCTGCTTATTCTTTTCTGGATATATATATATATATATATATATATATATATATATATATATATATATAGATAGATAGATAGATAGATAGATAGATAGATAGAGAGAGAGAGAGGGAAAGAGAGAGGAACAGTGAAAGTGAGATAGATAGATAGATAGATAGATAGATAGATAGATAGATAGATCCTTGTGCAAATTAATTGAAACAACCTCTTTAGTTTCTATTCTTTCACCATAAGGTCACTTTTAGACTCACTGGAATGACAGGGTGTAATCGATTTCTATTTTTTCCTCAGATTAGGTCATTTGCAATGGTGTGCAGTAGCATGAATCTATTTTGGGGGTGTATGATGCATTTTTGGGGCCTTGAAAAATATTCCGTCATCCGTGATTGCATCAGATTTTTTTATCACGTCACAGACACTATTGTCTCAGCTGTCGATTAATTGTCCTACGGTCATTGGTTGCAAGGAAGCGTACGAAAATTGTAACGCTGCAAGAACACACTGGCAAGCCTTACCAGTGAGCAAATCAAAGTAATATAGACTATCCCGGAAACTCTCATGATTTAAATCCAATCAAGAATCTGGGACGAGTTCGTGGAATGACCATATGAAATATTAACATGTGCACTGGGTCATGTTTCATTTGAAAAATACGAAAAAAAAAGAGTAAATCATAACAGAATTATTCGTTTTGTTTCTATTAATATGCACAAGGCTGTATATATATATATATATATATATATATATATATATATGAAGAAATCTAATTATGGGATAAAGTGCTCAATATCTGAGATAGATCGTATGAAAATGTAAATATAAAAGTGAAGATTGAAGTCAACAGTCAAAGACGGCAGGCTGTTTCATGCTAGACGCAATCGTCAGGCCGCGAATGTTGGATTTTTCCTCGACTGTTTATATAGGTCATTGGTGCATTGTGGGTAATCTATTCTGGTGTAACCTAGTACATATATATATATATATATATATATATATATATATATATATATATATATATATATATGTGTGTGTGTGTGTGTGTGTGTGTGTGTGTGTGTGTTTGTATGTGTGTGTGTGTGTCAGTGTGTGAGTATGTCTGCGTTAAAGGATAGAATAACTAAGTTTAAATCAAGTGAATTTGCTACTTAAAAATAATGTAGAAACAAAATAATGAAAATTAAATCTATTGGCCATTTGCACATGACACGTTTTTTTTAAACAAGCCTCTATTTCAAGCAAGCCTCCATTTCATTATTAGTTCGTTTTTGTTCTTTTATAATGTCTAGTAATTTTAACAATGATCAAAAAACATTTTCTCCATCATTAAACTTTGATTGGACGCCTGACTTCAAGTCGAAAGAAACCTGAAAACACAAAACAAAAAAGAATAGCAAGAGAAAAATGCGGGAAATTTACTGATTACATGGCATTTCTTGGCGACAAAATTTCTATTCGAATTTAGTACAACCAACGAATATTTTTAAGTCCGGTTAGGACTGGCAGCAATATATTTCAGAGTGTTTGTTCTTTTCGTACATTTTTATTCACGTTTGTTGTAAAAATTCTTTGAACGTAAACCGTTTCTTTTCTTTAAGTTGATAAAAATCGTTTTTTTATTTATTTATTTTTTTTTTTTATTTAGTTACATTTTCAAAGATTTCTGTTTGGATAATGTGTATGCAAGTGGTAAAAATTCGTTCAATATACTTAGTACTACAGCAGGCAGACGGGAAAGGTGAAGATACAAGAAAATATTTCTCAGTACAGCAAATACTATAATAAATATATAACTATAAAAAATGCAAGCGACTGCTGTACGTAATTAACAAAAAGCAAACATAACAATTATCATAAATTTTGAAGTTTTCTTTGTAGTGTCAGATATCCACAGACTTTCAACAGAGGTGACATATTTTCATCAGGATTGGACAAAGGCTCTCTATAAGAGAAGCGCCAACGATGCTGCAAATGTGCAATATAGTCATGGAAACATAATATTTACAGGTGCTTATACATCAACCACACCCTGCAAAAGAATTGGGAATATCCTGTATAACTTCTGCCATAATCCTTGTCTTCGGTTCAGTAATTATGATCAAAATAACAGCAACCAAAATGTGGGAGGTTGAAATTCACCGGTGCATGTCGGTATCATCTATATTTCAGTCGGAATTTCTGGGATCAGAAATTATCATTATTTACAAGATTTATATAAGAATTGTTGTATATCGATCTGGGTAACCTACAGGGAAATACAAACTGAACACTTTAATTAATCTACGGGGAGCAGATTACTCTCGTCCTACAACCATTGTTTAGGGATAATGTCTGGTTCATATTTTATATAGCACTGTTCAGTTAATGGACGTCAGGTTCCAGTGTGCAAGTAGAGGAGGCAATTGATAAATTGACATATAAATTTTGTAAAAAATCAAAATAACACTAACAACTCATTTTAATACATATATATATATATATATATATATATATATATATATATATATATATATATATATATAATTTCAGTTATAGGTGCAATTTTAATTTATAATATATAGAGGTTAATGATTTAAATGGCGAGAATACATCTTCGCAAACAATTTCAATAAGATACAGGGATCATATCATTCATATACATGTTCGGGGTTAGTGTATCTTATTGAAATTGTTTGCGAAGATGTATTCTCGCCATTTAAATCATTAATTGCACAAAAAATATCTTGAAATACTAAAGAGTAAATATATTTAATAGACTCGCCATTGACATCAACCACACCCTCCAAAAGACTTCGGAACCTCCTGTATATCTTTTGGACGGTCTCCTTGTTTAATTTGATGAATACTGCCATAGTTCTTGCCTTCAGTTCATATTTGGCGTTACATGGGGTTTTGTTGGTATCTCACAACAGTGACCCACACATAATAATCAAGTATATTACAGTCTGGGGAGATAGTTAGCCAGATGTAAGGGGTGACGTAGTCGCTGAATTTATCTGGCAGCCATGAATGGGCTATCAAACTTGTATGGCATGGTGCAATGTCCTGTTGTCAGAAATATGTTCTTTCAGCAGCCACTATCTTGACTCAGGGCAGCACTACCACTTCAAGACCCTCGATATAAACTTCCGTGTTGAGTTTGAAGCCCTGTGAGAAGTTGAACGGACGTATAACGTCACCCTCAATAGTGATCGCACCAAACACATTCGTAATCACCATTAGTCTCATCAAACACTTTCAGAATCCTACACCCTGTCTTAAGATCGACACCAAACATCCTGCAATGTTTGTATTGGAGCAACCGGCGCGAAAGTCAAGCTGAACAGAATGCCGTCTTCAAAATTCTAGCGGAGTAAATTACGTCATGATACATTTTTTTCTCCTAGACGGTGCCCAAATGAAACTACTATACTGGGCAGTCGACAAAATCAAAAGACATACAACGCGCATGCGTGAATTTATAGAATATAAAATGGCAACCATTTAACCATCGCACAGTGTGCACACTGCCTGACTGAGGATGTAGAATTCATATGTAGAATGGTAAAGTCATTTGATTAAAGTTCCATTTGACAGATCTACGCGTGGATTCGAAACCTGCTAGTTTGATTAAAAAAACGTTTATATAGAGAGATATTGTGAATTAAATACTGAACAGAGCCGATTTAACGGCATTATTAGTGAAAACGTTGGGTTGATATCTTTATGGAAAACAGCTACTTTTTTTTTTTTTTTTTGTAGTGTGTGTGTGTGTGTGTGTGTGTATCTAATTATGTCTGGGTGCTTATGTATTATAATCTGATTGTGTTTTTGTTGTTTTACGCGTGAGTTTAAGACCACATTCACAAACTTTAAAATAAAAACGGAAAAGAAAGGGAAAAAGAAAAAAATATATATACATGTATTGTCAAATGACCGGATATATTGTAGCGTCTTGTCGAACGTAATTTCAATGAAGAAATGAATTGAATAAACATATATATTTTTTCTTTTCTCAATAATTTTGTAGTTTTTAAACTTAATAGTGATTAAATTTGGATTTTAAAAATTGCCAGTTTTTAATTTTAATATTAAATTTTATCATATAATTTTATAATTATTGGTTAGTATAAATTATTTTTAATATTACACGTATTTAAAGATCTGAATAGCTATTATAGCATGATTTCGTTGTCAAGCTTTTGAATCTTTCTATACTTCGTTTTTGATTGGTTATTCTAGCTTTTGTAACAATGTTTCCTCCTAGTGTAGGATCGTTAATTAATCTGAAACTCTTAAAACAATCTATTTTCTTTTCAACATCATCACTTGATAAGACACCGATAGTGTTGAAACAAAATGGCTATTTTTGTAGTGATTTTATAACATACTTATGTTATAATAAAAATATATATATTTATATATATAAATATATATATATATATATATATATATATATATATATATATATATGAAATGGACAAAGTCCGACAATTATTTTAAGACATTTTTTAATTTTATGCATTCTTTTATAGATACAAATATTTAAGTAAATCTTCTGTTTATAATAAACAGTATTAACAACATTTACCGGCCTGAATGTCCGAGAAATTGTTATTGAAAATATGCGTCCTACGACAGGAATCGAACCTGTATCCTATACGGAACCGTCATATAGCCTGACGTGCTTTTACTGATTTTCGCCGTTTTTTTTAATATAGATATATGTTTACAAAAATGTATAAACAAAGATGTCTTAAAATAATTGTCGGTCTTTGTCCATATCATAATGTGTGACGTCATTTGTTTACATTTCGATAATCCATGAGCAGATATGAATATACGAGAGAGAATCAAGGAAGGTTGTAGTTTAAAAACAGTAAAATCGACCAAGCTAAACAAGGAATATTAGTGTTTGAGCCTTTTATATTTTATATATATATATATATATATGTGTGTGTGTGTGTGTGTGTGTGTGTAGAAAAATAGGAAAGAACACGTTAGGTAAATAATCCGGAGTTCTTTATTATCTTTGTTTTTATTTTCAACAAATTTTGCTCCATACAGAAGTAGAGCTTAAATTATAATTATTTAAAAAAAATATATGATTCCTTCCTAAATAATGCACCTATCTCATCCATTGAGAGTCCTAACACTGATAGGTTATACATTGGTTCAACGAAGAATGAATTTAAAATTAGATGG